CAGTGGGCAGCGAGGGGGGGGTGTGTGGGGGGGACCCTAATTGGCCAGGGCAGGTCACATGCTCACCCTGCAGCAAGAGGATGGTTGGGACAGTGCTGAAGGAGTTGGTGCTACCAGAACCAAGAAGACGCGAACAGATTGCATATGGTCAGCTGTAGTCAGTATAATTTTCCCATTTTACAAAATAGGAAACGGAGGTTTGGAGAGATTACGTGACTCGCTGGGGCTAGAGACACAGATGGGATTCAAACCTATGTCTGTCAGTTCTACCCAGAACATTACCTGGACTCCTTTAAGAGTGATATCAAGCCCTAGCTGGTTTGGCTCAGTGGATAGAGCGTTGGATTGCGGACTGGAATGTCCCGGGTCCGATTCCCGGTCAAGGGCAAGGGCACATGCTCGGGTTGTGGGCTCGATCCCCAGTAGAGGGCGTGCGGGAAGCAGCCGATTAGTGATTCCCTCTCATCATTGATGTTTCTATCCCACTCCCTTGTTCTCTGAAATCAATAAAAATGTATTTTTTTAAAAAGAGTGATATTGGAACATCACTTGAAGAAGTAGATTCCTGGTGATAGCCATGTCATTTCCAGCCCCCCTGGCAGCAGCTGTAACAGAGAGGATGCCCTGCGAGGAGGGTGTAGCCACACTCCCAGACTCAATCTTTTACAAGCCCTGCTCCATGACCAGAAGAGTCTCAGAGGTCCTTGGTTCCTGTTGCTGTACTGACTCAGTAATCCATCACCTGGCCTCTGCTTGAACACTGCCCCTGGCTGCGAACTCACCACTTCACAGGTAGGTAGCTGGTTCCAGATTTGAACTGGTCTAACGGTCAGGAAACATCACCACTGGTTAGAAACAGGGAAGTTTGTCCGGCTCCTGAACATATGTCTTCATGCATCTAGGGAAGAGATTTTGCTTTGTAAGTGGAAGAGAAGAGAGAAAGGGAGAGGGTGGGGCCAACCAAATATTTGGAAGTTATTATGCATCCCCTTCCTCTATCCTCACCCAGTCATCTCCCCAAGTTCCTCAACCGCTCTCCCCTAATGAGGTTTATTCAATATATATATTATTGTGTCCCTGGAAAGAGCATCTGTGGTCTCAAGGACCCTCTAAAAAAACAAAACGTGGGCCTCAGTAGGTAGAGCACAGAAGACAGGAGCCTCTCTACTGCTGAACTGGTTTAAGTAGAGCCCAACTTCACCTGCTTATTGGCAGCCACAAAGCACTGTTGACTCAGGTTGGTTCTATGAGGTCTGCTCTTTAGCCAGAACCTCTCTCCATGGTAACATATGACACTGATTTTCTTTTCAAATCAAAAGTGATGGGTCCTCGCCCTGGCCAGGTAGCTCAGTTGTTAGATCATTGTCCCGATGCACCAAGATCGCAGGTTTGATTCCCGAGTCAGGGCACATACAAGAATCAACCAATGAATGTATAAATAAGTGGAAAACAAATCAATCTCTCTCTTTACCTCCTCTCCTCTCTCTCTCTCTAAAATCAATCAATAAATAAAAGTGATGGGTCAATGGTGGTGCAAAAATGTAAAAATCCAGCCTAAAATTTATATCGAATTTCAAGAAACCATAAATAGCCAAAAAGAATTTTTAAAAAGAACAAGACTCACTTTTCCTAATTTCAAAACATACTACAAAACTATAGTAATCAAAACAGTGTGGTATTGGTATTAGAATAGACCAATGGAATAGGACTCCGGGCCCAGAAATAAATCTTCACATCTGTGGTTAATTGATTTCCCACAAATGTGTCAAGACCATTCAATGGGGGAAAGAACAGTCTTTTCAACAAGTGGTGCTGGGAAAACTGGATACTCACCTTTAAAAAATGGAGTTAGACTCTTACCTTATATTATACATAAAAATTAACTCAAAATGTATCAAAGATTTAAATGTAAGAGTTAAAACTATAAAACTCTTAGATGAAATTATAGAGGAAAATCTTCATGACCTTAAATTTGTCATTGGTTTCTTAAACATGACATCAAAAGCACAAGAGACTGAATAAAAAATAAATTAGACTTCAGAAAATTAAATACTTTGTGCATCAAAAGAGACCATCAAGAGAGTGAAAAAAACAACAGAAAAATATTTGCAAATCACATATCTGATAAGAGTTTAAATATATATATATTTGGCAGTGGGTTCTTTTTGGGTGTGTGTTTTAATATGTTTTTATTGATTTTTAGAGAGAGAGAGGGAGGGAGAGGGATAGAAACATCAATGAGAGACAAACATCATTGATTGGCTGCCTCCTGCATGCTCCCCACTGGAGACTGAGTCAGTAACCTGGGCATTTGCCCTGACCAAACCAGTGCCCTCCTGGTTTATAGGTCAACGCTCAACCATTGAGCCATGGGCTCTGATAAGGGTTTAGTATCGAAAATATATAAGGCACCCCTACAACTCAACAGGAGAGAGACAAACAACCTAATTAAAAAATGGGCAAAGCACCTTGAATAGACATTTCTCCAAAGAAGATATATCAATAAACAATACGCACCTGAATATATATGCTCAAGATTATTAGTTATTGGGAAATGCCAATCAAAACCACAACTAGATACCACTTCACACCCAATAGGATGTTTAGAATTTTATTAGAAACAAACCAAGTGTTGGCAAGGGTGTGGAGGGGGATTTTGTATGATTTCATGGCCCCTCTCAGAATGGTGCACAATTTAAAACCTATGAATTGTTCATTTCTTGAATTTTCCATTGAATATTTTCAGTCTATGATTGACGGTGGTTAACTGAAACCATGGAAAGCAAAACTGCGGATATGGAGGGATTACAGTACACCTTTCTTTCTGATTGTCCACAGGCCCTGTCCAAGCTCACTCTCCCTTGAATGGGTCTGTCCACACGTCTCTCTCCTCCCAGTGGAAACTCCCGGCTCTCAGGGAAATTTACCTCAGTGTTAAGTGGGGGGAAATATGATAATTTAGTTCACAAGTCTTTCCCTCTCAGCCCTTCAAAACTTTCCCTCACACACTTCATCCCAAGTGAAGTCTTTGTGGTAGAATGTGGTCTGAAGATGTGTGAGGCCCTTCCCTCCTGGCTGGGCTGGCCACGCCGCACAGGGCACTCCTGCCAGGGTGCTGACCACACCGTTAAGGTCATGAGAGCCCTTTTTGTCTGGCTTTTTTAGTGTGTAGTGTAGGCTTGGCACGGCACCGTCCTAATAAAGGTTTATTGATTTAATAGATGAGGGAGAGGTTTTGCTGATGTCTCCACTCCTGACCACCTCTACCCTGGTCCTCGACAATTCCCTGAGAACTAAAACATATGCCCGTCCAGTGACTTGTTCACAGATGTTTATAGAGACTTTATTTTCAATGGTCAGATCTGGAAACAATCTAAATGCCCATCCACAGGTAACGGAATAAACAAATTGTGGTAATATCCATATAACAGAATACTACTCAGCAATAAAAAGTGCTGATCTACTCACCAAAATGTATGAATCGCAAAATTGCTATGCTGAAAGAAAGAAGGCAGACACAACAGAATACATACTGAACGGTCGCATTTGCATGTGCAAATCAATCTATAGTGACAAGAAGACAAGAAGTTGCCTGGGGCTGGGGTAGAGGGCAGATTCACCGAAAAGGGACAGAAGGGGACTCTTGGGCCGGATGGAAATATTCTGCATCTTGATGGTGGTTGTGGTTACACCACTGTTTACATTTGTCAGAACTCATCCAATTAATACTTTAAATGTGTGCAATTTATTGCACATACATTAGATCTCAATAAAGTTAATGAAAAAGAAAATTCTATAAAGCTTTGGACCCTAAACTCTGCATCCTCTGCTTGAATAAAACCAGGTATGTGTCTTGCATGTGGAGAGGCCTATTGGAGAATTTATTTAGTCCACAAATATGCATTGAAGGCCAACTCCGTGCAGGCATCTGGTTGGCACCAGGAGGTGGATCATGCAGGTTGCGGCCTCAGGAGGCCCAGGACTCTAACAGAGCTTGCCAAGTTCTCAGAGAGAGGAGCCAGGATGGAAAAAAATATATACCCAGAGCAGAGAATATGAATTCGCCTCCTCAGTGTTTCCAAACTTGCCTGAGGTGCTTGTTACAAGTATTAAAAACATCTGGACTCGTCCCTGACCTACTGAGTCAGAATCACTGAAAGGGCCGAGGAATCTTTCTTTCTAACAAGTACCTGCAGGTACATTTTCAGATCAGGTGAGTTTAGAGAAAGTGCTTGGCTGGTCTCCATTACAGGCATAGGGGTAATCACTGTCCAAAGCTACGCAGTGGACTTAGAACTAGAAGGGAGTTTGAAGAATCATTTGTCCACGCACCTGCCTCTGGCCAAGGAGAATCCATCAACTTTCCCCCTCCATTCCCAGAGCCTTCCTGGGCCAGACATTCCCACAATCTAATTAACACTCTCTTCCTTCAGAAGCTCCTGACCTTTAGGTTTATCCTGGGAAAAACAAAAAATAAAACAGCCCCTCTTCCCCCAATCCCACCACCTCTCAGAAGGGTAAAGGTTTTATTAAAGCGATTCTGCAACTTGGATCAACATGTAAGTCCTTTGATGAGCTGGTGTTTCTGCTCCTCTGGCTGGAGAACTCATGTTAATCTGGTAAACCTATCCCTAGGCTAGGAAGGTGGTGTGAGGGCAGCAGGGGGTGGAGGATTCAGTCCTCTGTTGCTCAGGCCTCGGGACGCGTCACCATGGCTACGAGCCCTCCTACTCTGCAGGCAACCATCTTGTTTCCACGGGCAAAGCCCCAGCCACAGGGAAGGTATGTGGTGGCAGCGGGAACACAATACTCAGGAAAGGTCTAATTCACAGTGAGAGATCACCCAAGACCTCAGGGTCCGCCCCCAGACCCCTCCCCAGCTGCTGGGCTCCTCCCCAGGACACAGGGACGATGGGGAGAGGGCGAGAGCTCAGGCCTTAGCTGCCTTCTCCCTACCCCGCCTCCCCACCCCAAGACGTAACTGCCCTCCCTTTGAGAAGATGCCGGGCTACCAACCGTACTTTAAAATCCCAAATCAGAACACCCTGCCTGATGAAAAAGAATGTGTAATTGATGGATGTGAAAAGTCCTTTAAAGGTATACAAATCAAGTCACAGTGGGTACATATAGAATATTATGGAAAAGAATGCAATCGCGGCAGACGCTGTCCTAGTGGGGTGACTTTGATGCTCAGGGGACATGTGGCAAAAGTGGAGACACTTTTTGTTTTTACAAGCTGGGGTGGGCAGAGGACAGGGATGCTAAGCATCCTACAATGCACAGGACACCCCCGCCCCCCACCCCCGCCCCCCTCAACAAAGCATAATCCAGCCCCAAATGTCAAGGGCGCCGAGTGTGAGGAACCTGGTCTAGGCCCATGGGCAGCACCTGTGGACCCAGTGTCAGCCCTCCTGCCGGCTTCCCTCCTACCTACTTGGGTGTTGGCTTCCACGTGGTGTCAGGGGGGCGGGGGAGCTTGGGCCCTCTGCTATTTGCTGCTTCCTGCTTTGTTGACAGATGCAAGGAAACAACTGCCTTTGAAGACAAGGGCGAGAGGCAGGCACGGTCTTGAGTTGTTACCTCCCTCCCTCGGGAGAGTGTCCGAGTAGAGACCGGCTGCAGCCAGAGGCCGGGAGGAGCGCTGGGTTTAGGGGAGACCCTTGGGTTCTAGCCCGGGCTGCCTCGGTGCCTCAGTTTCCTCAGTTCCTCTTCTGAGCCCAGCTGTCTTCCTCGCAGGGTTGTTGTGAGGGTCAGGGGAGATGAAGGACGGGACAGGATTTTGGAAGGCACAAAGGTCGGGCAGCAGCAACCCACCGTGCCCACGGTGTGTGGGGGTAGAGGAGTTTCCCGGTGGCTGAGAGAATGGAGTGTGTAACCCATGGTGCAGACAGCCCGGCATGGTTGGAGCACCAAGGAGAAGGGCTGGGGAGTGGCGGGCCCTGGTGCTGGACGGCGAATGGAGCCTGCCTTTGAGGACCCGGCTTTCTTCTGCAGCTCTCAGAGGGGTTCAAAGTGCGCCCAGCCGGTGCGCCGGGGAGGCGCTGCAGCAGGAACGCTCTATGAAGTCAGTGGTGAAGCCAGGAACACTTCCACCCACAGCTAACGTTTCTTCATATTTTTAGCTCCTTATGACTTGCTTTTGCATCCTTTAGGTATCTTTAAGCATTTGTGTCCATCTTTTCAAGGTGTTCTAAAACCTACCTTTAAATTTCTAGTTCTCTTTTGCCGAAACCGGTTTGGCTCAGTGGATAGAGCATAGGCCTGCGGACTGAAAGGTCCCAGGTTTGATTCCGGTCAAGGGCATGTACCTGGGTTGTGGGCACATCTCGGGAGATGTGCAGGAGGCTGATCGCTGTTTCTCTCTCATCGATGTTTCTAACTCTCTCTCTCCCTTCCTCTGTAAAAAATCAATAAAATATATTTTAAAAAAATAAAAGAAATTTCTAGTTCTTTTGTAGTTAATAATTTCTTCTCTACGTTGTGTATATATCAGACGAAATTGGGCACGTTCAGGGTGGTATGGCCACAGACATGCATTATATATATTAGCAAAATTTTGGAATCACTGAAATGTCTAACAATAAATCATTTATTGGAACAAAATTAGGTATCTAACAACAAGGAACAGTGGGAACAAACTAGATGTTCACACAGGTGCGAAGAGAAAATCATAGCCAAAGATGATGGATTAAGAAATGTTTTGTAAGTAGAAAAAATTCATCCAAACTCCTAAATTCCTAAAAACATATAAATGTATATGTATGTGTTTGTATACTTTTTTTGTGGAGGCAGAGGAATATAGTGGTTATACCCACTGCCCAGAAGTTAGACAGGGCCCCTATTTGCCAACAGTGAAACCCTTGGGCTGTTGTTCCTCTTCTCTCAACTTCAGTTTTTCCATCCCATTTGTAAAAGGTGGGTAATAACCAACGTATGTCAAAGGGACTCAGGACCCAGCTGAAAGAGCACCCAGTAGCCACAAGTGGAACAAGTTGAGTGACAAAATAACACAGTGTTGGATATTAACTCAGAGTATAAAATAAAAACCCATGAGGTTGTAATGATATAAATAAATCTTGAGTTCATAAATAAATTGTGGAGAACAGATAAATCTACTGTGAAGAATTCCAAAAAGGTACTCCTCCCTCGGGGAGAGGAGTATAACTCCCCACTCCTCAAGTGTGGGCTGTGGGCAGTGACTTCCTCCCAACTTCTGCAGCTTGGAGGGGGTTGGGGGAAAGGAGTAGCTTCTCAGTAGAAACCTGGTAAACACTACTCAGACAGCTGGTCAAGGTCAACATCATTAGTGATATGATCATCTTGATAATATGCACCTTGGATGGGATGTGATGGGAAGGGTGCTTCACCTCTGAGACCTTCCTTCCCCAAACCTGTAACCCCAATCTTGTCCTGAGAAAAACATCAGATAAACCCCAAAGGACAATCTACAAAATACCTGACTAGTGCTCCTTCAAACTGTCCAGGTTATCAAAAACAAGGAAAGACAGAGAAACCCTCACAGTCAAAAGGAGCCTAAGGAGACATGATGATTAAATGTGAGGTGATCGCCATAGCCGGTTTGGCTCAGTGGAAAGAGCATCAGCCTGTCGACTGAAGGGTCCCGGGTTGGATTCCTGTCAGGGGCACATGACCAGGTTTCGGGCTCAGCCCTCAGTAGGGGGTGTGCAGGAGGCAGCCAATCAGTGATTCTCTCTCATCATTGATGTTTCTATCTCTCTCATCCTCTCTGATATCAATACAAATATATTTAAAAAAATAAATGTGAGGTGATCACCTGAATGGGATCCTGGGGCAGAAAAAGGACATGAGGTGAAAACTAAGGAAATCTGAATGAAGTATGTATGGACTTTAGTTAATAACATTGCTTCAATATTGATCCATTAGTTGTGACAAATACACCATATTAGTGTAAATGTTAACAGTAGGGGGAATACAGTGAGCTATATGGGAAGTCTATGTACTATCTTTGCAACTTTTTTATAAAGCTATTCTAAATAAAATCATTTCTTTAGAGAGTGGATATTGTGTCTGTTATGTTGTTGCATTCAATTAGGGGATTTATTCAAGTGTTTAGCATACTGGCATATGGTAAATGTTTAAGGTTAGCTATTATGTATCATTATTGTTCCTATTTCTATTTTTCTTAAAATAGTGATCAATACATACTCATTAAAGAAAACAATGAAGAATGTCCCCAGTTGGATATCTCTCTGAGACACAGCCTTAAATTTTTTTCTTTAAAAGGACTAAGGTGTGTGTACGGGGGAAGGGGAGGGGGAGGCAGACGACTTAAATGTTTTATAGACAAGAAACATAAAAATTGTGCTAGAGTCAACTTAGTCATTCTCATCTTCTTCATCTCCCTCATTTTCCTTCCTTTTCTTGCTTTTTTCAGCCTTGACAACTTTTCTTTTTTTGTCACATCAGCTTTCCTTTAGCTCAGTATGCAGCAATATCCTTTTCGTATTTCTCCTTCAGCCAGCAGCCGTCTGTTTGTAAGACAGCTTGTCACCTGCAGCAGCGCGCCCAGCGCCTTTGCAACTTCACAAATGCACGGGCCCACACGTTCTCCTTTGATTGCTGGCTGATAGAACGAAACAGTACGTGCAAAAGAGGTCTCTTGGGTAGAATAGGATCCTTGAGCTTCCCTTTTGTTTCCCTTTTAGGAGGGAAATAGGTTTTCATGCTCTTTCACAAGGGCCTTTGTCCACCCTTGCCTTGTCTTCAACTTTTCCTTTCTCTTTAGCAGACATGGCCTTCCACCTCTCTGAGCACTTCTTGGAAAACTCCGGGAAGTAGACTGAAGCATCCGGGTGCTTCCTCCTGGCTCTTCCTGGCAAGCTTGCACAAAGAATGTGTATGATGATATCTTGCCTTTCTGCTTCTTAGGATCTCCTTTGCCCATATTTAGGTTATTTTGTTCTCAGCAAGGCTCCGAGTTGTCCAGTGCCGGTCTGGCTCTCACTTGCGCTGGGCTGTCTCTGTGGAGCTCAACGTTCTGCAAGGGCTGAACGATCAAGTCGCTGACATGGTTTACAAGGCCCTTCCCAACTCTACTTTTCCATGAAGCTTCGTTTTCCACCTCTGCAGCCCCACTGCTCCTCAAACGTGCCTTCGGTGCCCTTTCCACAGCCTGTCTCAGGATCCCATACATGCTCATCTTTCACAGACAGACTCACATCATCTGTCATCTCCTCGGAGAACCGTCCTCAACAAGGCAGCAAGAGTTGGTTATTCCTCTTCTGTACTCTCATTACATTCAATATGGACTTAGATTATCGTCCAGAGCACATTTTATTATTGCATTTGTTTATTAGTCTGTCTCCCCCACTCCACTGGAAGCTCCCCTAAAGTAGGGCCTGGGTTTTCCTCAGCTTCACTCCCCTACTGCTTAGCACCGCACCCGGCTGTGATGTTTAGTGAACCTTGAATGGACTATACAGATAAGGAAGCTGAAGCCCTTGCCTAGAACAAGTAACCAACCTGATGGAGAGGAACTGGAGAGAGACGTGTGACAAATCAGATTGTGATTTTAATAGTCTAGGCCAGTGGTCGGCAACCTCAGTCAACAGAGCCAAAAATCAACAGTACAACGATTGAAATTTCTTTTGAGAGCCGAATTTTTTAAAATTAAACTATATAGGTAGGTACACTGTTATTAACTTATTTAGGGTACTCCTAAGGCTTAGGAAGAGCCACACTCAAGGGGCCAAAGAGCCGCATGTGGCTCGCGAGCCGTGGTTCTCAACCTTTCTAATGCTGTGACCCCTTAATACAGTTCCTCATGTTGTGGTGACCCCCAATTTCATTGTTACAAATTGAACATAATTTAAAGCATAGTGATTAATCACAAAACAATATATAATTATATATGTGTTTTCCGATGGTCTTAGGCAACCCCTGTGAAAGGGTCGTTGGACCCCCAAAGGGGTCGCGACCCACAGGTTGAGAACCGCTGGTCTAGGCAGTTGCTTACACCCTCCCCCCTTCCCAAGGCTGATAACCACCTATTTTACTTATTCGCTTTGCTCCTGGGGGAAAAGGGGCTCCAATAACCAGGAGAGATTTAAGCGGAAAATGAGGAAGGCCTCCTTGTTCCTGGTTCTTGCAGACAACATGATGAGCTGACTCAGAACGCGGGGCCTTGTCCTCTGGAGGATTTTGAGTGAGACTTTATCAGGACCGAGTTAGGAGTCCTGTTAGAGGGGCCAGTGGCTGAGCTCGCGCCGGAACAGGCTGCCTCCCGAGGAGGCCCACGGGGAGCAGGACCGGCCAGGGGCCGCCAGCGCCTCGGACCAGGTTGCCATGGAGCCGGGGCTGCTGGGGGAGGGGAGGCGGCCACAGCCTCGCTAATGAAGGCCCGGCCCACGGGCGCGCTGCGGCTAATAAGGCGGCCCCGCCAGCGCACCTCCACGCCCGCAGCCGGCCCCTGTTTATTGCCGTATGGAGATCATTAATGCCTCCTGACACCGAGGTCACGCCCGGGGTCAATCCCCGCGCCCCGTCTGCGAAACAAGGGGAAATGAACTTCCCGGCACATGTGGCTCGGGCTTGGTGGGGAGGGGCCTCCCGTCACCCCACACATCAGCTCTGGGGGAGAGCGGCACCCCGGGCCCTCGGACCCCCCAACACAACCCGCGCTGGGCTCTGGGGGGCGTCGTCCAGGGGAAGGTTCAGGGGAGGCCCTTGTCTGGGCCGGGACGACCCCCACTGAGGCTGTCCCAACCGACAGACGGACACTAATCCCCTGGCGACTGGCTGGGGTGGCGTCTGGGAGCTGCAGCTGCAGCGCGACAGGGGCCGCCGCGCAGGTGGCGGGAAGGCCGGCGGGCGGCCACGTGGGCAGGCGCTGCGGCCGCGGCTCCACCCTCCTCCCCTCCTGGTCAGCGATTGGGCCCCACACTACCCCGGATACAAGATGGCGAAGGGGGCGGGGTTCCAGGCCTAGCCAAGCTGCGATTGGTGAAGCCCAGACTCCCTGAGTTGAAGGACAGCCTCAGTAGCCAGTGGGGAAGCTCCGGGCGGTGGTGGAGGTGGCGGTGGGCACTCTGCGGCCTTACCTCACCTGTAAGTAACGACGCGCTCCCACCGCCTCTCGCCGCCCGGGAAGGGCCAGGGTGGGAGAAGGAGCCCCATGGCCCTCCAGGCAGGCCTTCACCGACCGGGGGCCTCCCCTCAGTCAGGACCAGAACCGGGAGGCAGCCCCGACCTGCCCAGGAAGAAGTCAGAAAACCCCCAACCAGCCTGGAGGAAATGGGTAGGATTATGAGGTTAATGCCAGAGCAGGCTGAGTGGCAGTTACCAAATAAATGATCCCAGGAGGACATGGCTGAGGTTAAATGAAGCCCAATAAATAAAGGGCCGTGTTCAAAGGAGGAACTTCAGAAAGCGCAGGGCTCCTTCCTGTCCTCCCTTCTGGGGCCTGTGGCATCCTGGAGGAGCCCAGCGCCCGCCCTGCCTTCCAGGACCGCACAGGCGGGGCTGTGCCCGTCGGTGCCAGTGTTGGCACAGCTCCTGGGCCCAGGATTTCCTGGACGGCTCCGTCCACCAGCGTCGGGGCTGAATGAGGGAATGGAAACTCTTCCTGGAGGTCTGACCCGTTGAAGCGCCCCAGCACGTCTCGCTCTGGTTGCTTAGTGACAGAGACAGGACCCGCTGCTGCAAGAGGGGCTGAAGCTAGATGTTAGGACGCACTTCCCAAACATCGGATAGAAGAGGGCGCTTATGGATCCTGGCGGTGAGGAGCAATAGAGGATTTTATTCCCGATGAGCGCGCATTTGTCCATCCCATTGTGCCCAGTCAGTGCCATCAGCACCGTCTGTGCACATGGAAAGCTTGTGGTAGAGCCTGTGGCATGCTCTCCATCCCACCATCCTTGTGTCCCGCCTTCCATGGATCCTGCTCACTTTTCCAGGTTGGCGGAAGTCATTAGGAAACAGATCATGAAGTGCTTGGGACATAAAGGATGTACCATGTTGCCTGGCCAGCGTGGCTCAGTGGTTGAGTATCACCTGTGAACCAGGAGGTCAAGGTTTGATTCCCGGACAGGCCACAGGCTGGGGTTGCAGCTGGAGCCCCAGTGTGGGGCGTGTAAGAAGCAGCCAATCAATGATTTTCTCTCTCATCATTGATGTTTCTATCTCTATCTCCCTCTCTCTCCCTCTCTGAAATCAATAAAAATATATTTAGAAAAAAATTTACAAGGATGTATTATGTTTCTGTTTTGGGAGTCTGAAGAGAGAGAGATGATTAATTCTTTGGACTCCTGGTTAGTATTTTCTTTCTTAGAAAAGGAACAATAAGAATAGTTAAGATCTTGGGCTCTGGAGTCTTATAAGTCCAGGAGGACCTCTTTTCTTCTTCTGAGACCTTGTGCAAGTCCTATTTACAATAACAATCCGAGTGTTCCCGTGTGTCAGGCAGTATTTTACACTCTTAGAACCACCCTGGGGCGGGGGAGGTACTGTTATCCTTGTTTAACAAATGAAACCATCTTAGGTTAAGTGACCCTAGAGCGGTATATTTTAAAGTAGGGGCACTGAAGAGCCAAACTAATTGGATTCAAATCCAGACTTCATTTTCTGGTTGGATGATGTTGGACAAATTACCCAATTTCTTCATCTGTGAAATGGATATTTTGATAGCACCTGTCTGATGGGGTGGTAAGGTTGAAATGAGGGAAAGTATAACTCTTAGAACCCTGCCAAACACATTGTAGGTACTCAATAAATATTAGCTATTATTCTGAGCCCCTAAAGCACTTTTATCAATGATATTACTTTATCTTTTCTACTGCCCTCAGAGGTGGCCGTTATTACATTCATTTTATAGATGAGGAAATAGAGGTTTAAAGCTGATCGTGCTTAGGTCCCTCTGTAAACAGCCTGCTAAGGACCTGAATTCAGGTTTGTTTACATTCAAACTCCAAAGGCTTCCTGATACTTTCTCATTCTTGAATTCTAATTTTTTTTAGTCACTCATTCAAAAAAATCCGTGAGGATCCAAATTAAAAGCCAGTTTTTGATAATCCATGCTAAGGAAGAATGGAGGGAAGGAAGAGAAGAAAAGAAAGAAATTGGGTAATTAAGTAATTTCTCTCTTATAATTTTTTGTTTAACCTTACTCGGCTCTCACAGATATACCATCCTCAGTCTCAGGGAAGTTTTACTGGAGGAACATGTCATCTAATGGGGCAGAAAGTCTGATCTTCTGCAGATAATCCACCTGCAGATAAGGATTCTAGAACAGAAGGGCTACCCACCCATTGCTAGCCCTGACTATGGAAACCCCAGATCTGATCATTCCTGTGTCTGTAGTGCCTCAAATGAAAGTCATAGCAGGGACCCACCTGTGCGGTTGGTGACTCATGGCCTCACCCTCAGTCCTGAGGGGGCTCAGACCAGCCTACCTCACCCAGGTCAGGGATCAGGCCAGCCCCGTCCTCAGTTCCTGGAAGTTCCTACTTCTCTCGGTGGGAGAAGGCCTGGGAGGCCAGGGTGAGAGGTCAGGTAAACACCTGCATCTGTGCATGAGGGAAGCACCTGCAGCAGCTGCTGCCACTTATTACCCATCCCCCTTGCTCAAACCTCCTATTCCAGAACAAGCTCAACTCCTGCCTCCACCCCAGTTGTCCTGAACTTGATAGTTTCAATAGGACATGGGCTGGGGCAGTGGTCCGCAAACTCATTAGTCAACAGAGCCAAATATCAACAGTACTTCTTCAAAATA